GCAAGTACAGTATAATCTCCCTCTGTTATGTCAGTCTGACACATGCAGTAGCTAATTTGACCAACATATCATATGTATCTACAGTCTTATGTGTATTTAGTAGATTACTTTATATAATGACATACAGTGATATATAAAATATAAAATGTGAACAGTGTATATTGCATATCTAACATCATTCTTGAGGGTCATGTAGATAAAGGTGGTTGGAATTTTAAAATTTATTACACTAATTTAATTTTTATTCGTGATTTTGACATAATTTATTATGAAAAGCAGCAGTCAACAGCTGTGATTTATGTCAGTCGCATATGTACGTGGTAAAGCGGGAATGCGCGTATCATCTCCCACCAATATGGCAAGGGTTTGAGCCTCGGCCCTGACACACGTGAGAAGGGTGATATCCAGTGTGAACCAACCAAACATCACAGGTTTCCCAGTCCACTGTTTCCTCCTGTACTAACATTGGGTAGTGTGCCCAAATGCCTAGTAAGCTTATAAGTAGTGAAAATTATATTATTAATGACCCACAAGTAAGTTCGAAAAACTTTACACTGCCAAGTGTCTAGGGATTATGGCCATAAGTGTTCACACAGAGCATGGTGCCCGACTGCATTTGTGGGTTATAGCTTGAGGCAGTAGTGGAATTATATATATATATATATATATATATATATATATATATATATATATATATATATATATATATATATATATATATATATATATATATATATATATATATATATATATATATATATATATATATATATATATATATATATATATATATATATATATATATATATATATATATATATATATATATATATATATATATATATATATATATATATATATATATATATATATATATATATATATATATATATATATATATATATATATATATATATATATATATATATATATACAGTAGTACCCCGATTCAATTGAGCCCACAGGGTACCGCGTTAAGTGAAATCCGCGTAAATGGAACAACAGAACATATGGGATTAATTCCAATAGAGACTGGCCCGACCCCCAAACTCTACTTTTTCCAACACAATACCTATGTTCTAGTAAAAACAACATCTTAATTTTATGATGGTACATGCACACAATTAATACTTAAGAGAAATAGAGAAATACAGTTGCCAAGTTAATGTCCATTCAAATAATGGACTCAACTCCCTCCCCCTCTTCTCACACTACACTGCTGGCTCTTCCCTCTCTGAGAAATTTTGGGGAAAACCACTAGATTTTAATAAATAATACCTTAAACTAAAGTTAGGATAATATAATTGACATTGCTGGATTCCTTGTAAGACCAGGAACATTTTGAATATAAATGTCATATATTTTACACAAAAGATAACATATTTACTCAGAGTAAACATTATATCTAAAATTTGTATGTCTAATGCAAAATCTATGATGTTTATATTCAAAATGATCATCAAATTATAAGAATTCCAGCAATGTAAATTATATTCTGACCGGGTAATTTGTATGAATTTTATGAGCTAAAACAAATATCTTCAGTTAATAAAGAAAAAAATATTCTTCAGACACTGTCTGTCAATCAAAGTACTGTACCCCACCTTGCCTCCCCCCCTCTTCCAACCGCGTGGTCAGTCCCAACCCTCCCCCCCACCCCCCACCAATCCTCCCTTCAAGAGATGTTGGGTGAAAAAACTAAATTTTAACATTTAGTATTAAATAATAACTCAGATTAAAGTTAGGATAATATAATTGACATTGCTGGATTCCTTGTAAGACCAGGAATATTTTGAATATAAATGTCATATATTTTGCACAAAAGATAACATATCTACTCAGAGTAAACATTACATCTAAAATTTGTATGTCTAATGCAAAATCTATGATGTTTATATTCAAAATGATCATCAAATTATAAGAATTCCAGCAATGTAAATTATATTCTGACCGGGTAATTTGTATGAATTTTATGAGCTAAAACAAATATCTTCAGTTAATAAAAAAAAAAAAAATATTCTTCACATGGTAACAGATGGTCGGTCGGTCCCTCCCTCCCCCCACCCCCCGTCCCACCAGATGTGTGGGAAAACCAGAATATTTACCTTTTTAGTAATAAATATATTCTGGCTGGGTAATTTGTATGAATTTTATGAGCTAAAACAGGCAGTTAGGCAGGGTGGCGGGTGGGGGGAATCTAAAAATAGCTCTCGAGCCGGACACTCACCACGTATACGTGGAAAAAACCCGGGTTAAGTGAAAGTTCAGCTCTGGCGAGGCACCGCGTATACGGTAAAACGCGCTAAGTGAAACCGCGTTAAGCGGGGTAATACTGTATATTTATATATATATACAGTATTTCATGTAAATCCACAATGAAAACGTGGATAAGATAAATCTTGATAAAATCACACGGGAAAATGGAAACAACGGAGTACCTTAGCTTTCGTCTTTATTCAAGACATCTTCAGAGGCAACTGGATTACATGGACAGAGAGAGGCTTAAATATACAGGGTGACCTAAAAACATGAGGTCAGGTCATAATGATGACATCCACTAATCCCCACACCAACACACACGTAGAGGAGCTTAAGAGAAGGGTGGTGACGTGACTAGCCAGGTCAGGTCAGAAAAAAGGGACCCACAAAATAACTATCATACATCTAGATCAAAGGTTTTCAAAGCATTTTTAACCTTGGGCCACTGACAAATAAATTTATGTAACATATTATCAGTTTTGAACTGACCATCACTAAGGTTTATTGATTTTAATTCCTTAATCAAACTAGCTTCAACCAGAAGTCTTTCTGTGACACAAGATGATTTGAATACTTCTAAGCTTTTTTCCCAAGCAATGGGGTGATTATTATTCCTAACATGAACGAACAAGGCACTGCTTTCAGATGCAGTTCTGATATTATACTTATGTTGTTTGATTCTGAGCTGCAGTGTTTTTCCTGTCTGACCTACATAATTACAATTACATTTGCTACATGGAACCTTTGATCTAGATGTATGATAGTTATTTTGTGGGTCCCTTTTTTCTGACCTGACCTGGCTAGTCACGTCACCACCCTTCTCTTAAGCTCCTCTACGTGTGTGTTGGTGTGGGGATTAGTGGATGTCATCATTATGACCTGACCTCATGTTTTTAGGTAACCCTGTATATTTAAGCCTCTCTCTGTCCATGTAATCCAGTTGCCTCTGAAGATGTCTTGAATAAAGACGAAAGCTAAGGTACTCCGTTGTTTCCATTTTCCCGTGTGATTTTATCAAGATATACAGTATATATATATATATACTGTATATATACTGTATACAGTCAACCCTCACTTTACACGGTTAATTCAACCCACAGGGTACAGTACCGCGTAAAGTGAACAACATAACATATGGGATTAATTGAAATAGAGACCGGGCCGACCCCCAAACTCCACTTTTTGACGACACACAACTATGTTGTAGTAAAAATATTATCTTAACTTTATGATGGTATGCACACACAATTAATAATTAAGAGAAATATCAATAATATTAGGTTTTTTAACACATACATTAGTAGAAAAGATGGCTGGGCACACGGGGATGGGCGGTTGGTTCCGAGGCAGAGGGCAGATTATTGGCCCTCACCTGTATCACTTGTATCAATTGTATCACTATCCACAACAGAAGCTTGCAGGGCCTCTTTGTCAAACCCCTCAAAGTCCATATAAGTCCATATCCTCACTATAATTATCACTATTACTGACTTGGGCCGGCTGTGGTGGGAGGCGGGTGAAGAACTCGGTAATGTTTTGATGACTGGGCGACCTTGTGCGCACCATGCTCGCGCCGCTTACACAACATGGCGGATGGCGGGAGGTTTGGATCCAAAAATGGCGCGGCTCGCCAGCCGCTCTCCGCGTAAAGGGGTACACGCACCGCGGAATGTGAGCATTCCTGTTTCGGCAGGGTACCGCGTAAACGTGGAAACGCGGAATGTGGGACCGCGTAAAGCGAGGGTTAACTATACCTGTATATATATACAGTATATATATATATATATATATATGCAGTATGACTTTGCTGTACAAGGTAAATTTGATTATGATTGCTCAGTGCTCAGTACATTGAGTATGGTTTACCGCATCCTTGATTTCACTAAAATTAACAGTTTCTTTCACTGTTAGCAACATCAGCATCAGGGATTTGAGCTGATTTACTTTCTGTAAACTGTCCTGTAAAATTTGTATGTATAATAAAGGCAGTTTTGTATCATAGGTCTAAATGCATCCCTGCACAAGATGAGTCACTGAATCTCTCAACACTTGTAAAAGCAAAATCACCTAAGCTGATGAAGGCATCACCAATCAGTGATGGTCATCTTACTGGCCACCTGTACGGTTTGTACCATATAATTAGTACCAACACAGCCATCAACATCCTCAAAAATATTTGTAAGGTGGATGCTTGTGATACTTTGTATAGTATTGTACATCCATAGGAAATGCCTCTGCATTTGAGATAATGTGCTTCCTGAGGTGAAACCTTGTCCTTCAACAGCCACAAGTTACAGGAATAGTCTCCTCTTGATCAAGATAGGACTAATTAAGATAGACTTTAACCCTTCAGTGAAGGGGTGTCTCTCGGTTGAATAAAATCGTATGCCGTTAGCTAGAGTAAAATACCTAAGGGTTTCACTGCCCACTAAAAGGTTAAAAGCTGTAATCACCATGAAGGTGACTGAGATATGCTGCTGATGAATGTTGGTGGCTTGTGTAAAGCGACAAGGGAACTAAGCAAGATTTCAGGTTTTGTCGTGAAAGGGGAGCACCATAGTGGAACACATCTTTTAGAGCCATACAACTGACTGAATGACAAACAGAGGAAAGGAAATGTTTTTGTATACCTTCTCATATTTATGTTTCTGGCCACCCTGTATGTATGTATGTATGTATGTATATATATATATATATATATATATATATATATATATATACTTAGTTATCTATCCATATACCTGAATATAACACTGGTACTGGTTATCCTTGCAACTGGTTGTCCACTATTAGCTAATATCTTCTGGCCTGTGAAGATATTCCTGTTAAATATAAATGGCATTAATCATTTAGGTTTTGCCAAACTGCTAATTGCTTCTCTCTACAGTATATGTATATAATTTAATGAATATTTCCAGGACCTTGGTGGAACAAAAGTCAGAATTTTGTAGCACCAAAAATATTCTAAGTTTGTACTATAAAGATTAGTACACTGTATTACAGAATTATCACATTTACTGTATATGATAGGATGCAGTGGCCAAGTGGGCCACTAATGTCCTAAATGAACACCAGCTGTCTCCCAGGGGCACCATCATTTCATCCAACTGTGACTGGTTTAACTATCATTACAGTTAGGGAAGTGAAGGCCGTATAGTTCAGTATCAGAGCTTAATATTCGTGTGATTTATGAACACTGCTGCTGATGTGATGTTAGGCCAATGGGATCCACTTTCAATTTTATATAGTACTGTAGATGGTACAGCATTTCCCGAAGTTCAGAATGTAACCCCTTTACAGCCATACAGTATTTGACAATTCTTCAGTTTCACATGTAAACTTAACCTAACACTACATCATAACTCTGAGAATAAATTTGAATCTGTCCAGTCAAAAGTGACTTCCGCGTGTTGTTTGTTGAAGTTGACAGATGGTGCCTGCCTCCACTACTCCCTCGACCAACACATCTCCACCTTCCTATCATATCCACCTGTGAACTACCTCTGCCACCCTGCTGTCTCTGCCACCTCACTGTCTCTTTCACCCTATTATCTCTGCCACCCTAGTGTGTCTCCCGCCCCATTATCTCTGCCACCTCACTGTCTCTTTCACCCAAGTATCTCTGCCACCCCAGTATCTCTGCCACCCCAGTATCTCTGCCATCGCAGTATCTCTGCCACCCCAGTATTTCTGCCACTTCACTTTTCCTTTCACCCTAGTATCTCTGCCACCCTGCTCAGGTATGGTGCTTTAGAATGCAAAAGTATCACCAACCTGGTCACTGACAAATAAAAAAGAAAATATCAAAGCCAATATAATGCGAGGTTGTCACCCTTTCAATACATTGTCTTGAATCTTTGAGTTCATTATTACCGTAATTGAATAGTTGGTCATCATACTCAAGGGATGAAATCATTGTACAGTATTCAAAAGGTGTCTCTCGAACCCAAGTGTCTGATCCTGGCAACCAGACAAGTACCCCATATATCAATTTATCAGTGAAAATAGGGATCACCTGTAGATTAGCTCCCTTCCAGCTTATTTCACCTGAAGAACACCTTAATGCTGTCTGGGGGGGGGGGCCTATGTTAGATTAGGTTAGCTAAGATTTGATTAGCTATGTTTTGTTAGGTTTGGGTAGATTAATGTGAAAGAAGCTGGGATAAGGTTAGTTTAACATTTAGGTAGTTGATCTTAAGGTGATAGAATCTGGGGCTAATCTTAAGATAAACTGAAAAAAATATATATATTTAAATGATTAAGAGTAGAAATTAACGAGGTCGTGCTTTAACTAATGAGACTTATTGCTGGTGATAATCAATAATGTTGCTTTGGGTAGTAAGTGGACGAGTGGTGAAGAGTATAACAGTGCTGTAATAGACTGAGGTTAGCGTGTGGGGACTATTTAACCTTGTTTGTTGCCTTTTGCACCATGTATTTTACTAAAATTACAAAGTTCCTCTCAAAGGAGGATGGGGTGCTACTATAGGGTGCTGTCTCTAAAGATATATTTAGTATAACTTAACCTAACCTTAAGTAGCACCGAGGATGGAATGGTAATAAATGATTAAATATAAAGTTTTTCATTGATATATAAATCTCATGTGTTTACTGCAGTTTATGTAGGCAATGTACGGTACACATTCTGAGAGTCCCATTAAGAGAGGGAGAGTGTTTCACAAAGATAGTGAATAAAATAATACAGTGACCCCTCGGTTAACGAACTCAATCCGTTCCAGAAGGTCGTTCGTTAACCGAAAAGTTCGTTAACCGAAACCATTGTTTCAATGGGTTTTTGGGTAATTGGTTCCAGCTCACCAAAAATTTCCTAAATTCAACAAAAATGGTAAAAAAGTTCACTTACTTTGAGGTGTGTATGTAGAAGGCTCCTGGATGATGATGATGATGATGGGAATTACAATGGGGGTGGAGGAGAAGGAAGAAGAGAAGGCATTGGGGTGGAAGAGAAGTCACCCCATGGCACCATTTCACCCATAAATTTTTAGTTCTCTTGGTGTATTTCAAGATTATTTTCTTTAAATCAACACTGTACTGCATTATATATTGTCAATATGTAAAATATATTTCAAAATGACCAATAATTTGCTTGGAAACACAGAAAAAAGCATTTAGTTGAAGAGAGTCTCAAGCAAGATGTTACCTCCAGTGAAAACAGAGAGACTAACGCCTGTTTGCTGTGTTAAGAGGCTGGATGCTGCGCTTTAAACTAGTCACTTTACCTTCAATTATGTTCAATAATTGTTAAAATGACTAAAAAATTGAATATTAAACTTTTAAAATTATTGAATAGTATAAACTTCTTGATATTTACTAAAATAGTTAGGAATTTAAGCCCTAGAACCGATTAATGTATTGGCGGACTGATACTAAAGCTGGTTGCCCGGCCAGTGCAAGTGAAAACATGTTGAGGTCGGTTCGTAAGAAATTCGTTAACCGAATTTTTGTTCGTTAACCGAATTGAAGATCCTTATGGAAGGCAGTTCGTTAACCGAAATTTCGTTAACCGAGGCGTTCGTTAAACGAGGGGTCACTGTACTTTATTCGATTCACTTTACTGTACTTTATCTACTAATGAGAGAGGTTTGTGTTACATGCACATGATCAAACTCATTGTTAACACAAATTAGTTTGTGCCTACACTGAACACATTCAATTAAAATGGTCAAGTCTCAAAAACAATACAGTTTATTCAGGTGAGAAGAACTGAAGTACAGTAATACCTAAGTTAATTTGTAACCTAATTCCCCTAAAGTGTGACTATGAACAAAGGACCAGTAAATGACTACCAGCCAAGTTCAAACCACTCCACGGTTACGGAGTTATCATGTACACATCTCTGGCCCCCTACTACCTGTATGTGCTCTGCGTCTTCATATTTAATATATTATTGATTCCTAAGCTGTCTACTTTAGTTAGGGAAAAAAAATTTCAATCATGAATTTAAATATGGCAACAAAATTGTAGGTGATAGCTTATTATTAAGTTATTTAACTGTATAGTCATATACAAAACATTGAAAGAGTCTGGTTAGATTTAGAAAGTTTGTGAAACTGCCTGAAATTTGTGCTGAACATTTGTAACAGTATCTAGCATGTTATCTGTTTGTTAGAATCAATAAACACAAATTGCTGCACAGTTTTGTACTCAAGCAGCCCGCCTGTACCCTCCTCAAAGTGACTGACACCCACGAGCACCACTTCAAATCATTGATGACCCAGATGAACCCGATTCTTCTTCAGATTAATGAAAGATGTGGAGGCATGAACAAGGGTGGTCCAGGCTGATAAGGTTAGATTAGGTTTGGTTGGTTTTTGGTGATTTTCTATGGGTTTTTTTACACAGAAAAAGGGGTAGGTTAAGTTAGGTTATATTTCTTTCAGTATTAGAAATGTTTGTTCCTATAGTTTTTGATAACTTTTGAAGGATTTTGGTCTTGTTCTCCATTGAAAATCACCTGTTTCTGTGATTTCCCCCACCCGAAAACTCCCACTTCCCAACATCTAGAAGATGGCGGTGGCAGTGCGTGTGAGGGAGGGGGTTTTGAGAATTGCAATTAAATGCCAGGTAGCGACGTGTCCTCCTAATATTACTTATTAAGTAATTATTAGATGTTTTAATTGCCTGTATGTTGACCTGGCGAGTTATTGCTAGGCATTAACATACCTAGGTATAAGCTAGGTGTTGCATTCTGGATTGAACAAAAATTTGTGATTTCCGACGAAAATGAATGCCAAATCCGTTCAAAACTCATCAAAAACCATAGGAAAACCTATTTCTAATACCCAAAGAAAGAATGATGCACTACTATACTATAAATTGACCTTTACAACTCATAAACTTACATATAAAAGACATGAATGAAATACTGTATGTACATACAAAGTCTTATCTTAATAGCCCAGAGACAAATAGGCTATCCACATAGTACATAAGCTATGATAAAAACCAAATTAAGTGACAAATAGCAAACAAAAATGCAACATGTTCCTGCCTTTGCTGTAATTAAGTCACCCTTCACCTCCTACAAGGGAAGGATGTTAATGTCCTTTGAAACATGGCATGTGTTGTATATACCTTAGTGCAGGGGTTCTTAACCTGGGGTGAATTTACCCCATGGGGTAAAATAACAACATCGCCGGGGGTATATACACCAAGTTTAAAATAATGCAATTTTAACTCCTTCATTTGCAAAAGACAAATGTACAGTCATTATTGTGCAGCTCTAAAATAATGATGTGTTTTTCTTTTGTTTTAATTTTTACCCTAATTTTCATTGTTCAGCCTATTTCCTTTAATAAAAACTTATCATGCTTATGCCATGGTTATGCTTATTTATGTGGTGGGAGTAAATGACTGGTCATGCCAGCACTATGGGGTAAATGGCAGAAAAATGTTAAGAACCCCTGCCTTAGTCCATAACGTCTCTTAATCCTTGTGTTTTCTTTTTTTCATGTTGGAGGCTAATTCCCCATTCCATATTCTGGGTGTTGAAGGTGAAAGGTACAGTACACCCTCGAACAACCCTCCCCCCGAAACAGACGTGAAATTAATAAGATTTTTGTGTAGATTCTTCATCCTACAGCATTCGTATTCAACAAACTTTGTGTCAGTGTATTGTGCACAATACCTTTGAATACCTTTAAATCTGAAATCACTTGCCAACACTTGTAAACTCTACCAGTTATTAAGAATATACTCTTAATATTTGTGTTGTCACAGTTTAACCCCTCATGTCGAACAACGTTTTGACTGAGGATTTAGATTACTGATCAATGAAAACTTTTCCCAGACAATTGTTTTCGGTCCATTGTGAGAAGGTGAATCAAGCAACTAAGCTAGTAGGTGTTATAAGGTTATTCTGATATCTAGACAGTCTGTCCCTCGTAATGCTCTTCAAAAGTGAGGTGCTCCCCTGTTTGGAATACTGGTACTGATCCCTGAGATATGCTAGAGACTGTCACTTGACTGAAAATGTCCAGAAAGATTAGAATGCCCGCAGTTGCCTAGCTTATACAATAGACGGGCAACAGGCAAATAAATTATTGGGTCTTATAAGAAGGTTGTTCAGATATCTAGACGGTCTGTCCCTCGTAACGATCTTCAGGAGTGAAGTGCTTCCCCATCTGGAGTACTGTCACCTGATCTGGTCCCCAAAATATGCTAGGGACTGCCAGTTGGTTGAAAATGTTCAAAGGAGGGCCACCAGACTGGTGCCTGCACTTCGGCACCTCAGCTACCCTGAGAGATAGGAGCGCCTGAACTTGCCTAGCTTATACTACAGACGGGCAAGGGGGGACCTAGTTGAGGTGTATAAGCATCTCAGGGGGCACTACTCAGTTGAGTGTCCTTACTTGGAGCTGGCGGACGCTCGCCCCACAAGCGGTCACAGCTCAAGATTGAAGAAGCCTCAAGTCCAGAAAACCGTGAGGGCAAACTTTTTCGGAGTGAGGGTTGTAAACTCTTGGAACAATCTACCAGAAAGTGTTGTGACGGCACCGAGTGTGAGCTCTTTCAAGACAAGACTTGACCAACACTGGAGCGGGTTCACGTACATTCAGGAGCTGGTGCATGCCCAGTATTTGCTAACAGTGCATGACAGAGACGTGACCGATCGCCCGGGCGACTAGCGAGCCGATCTTTTGGTGAAGACGATAAATGAAAAGGAAAAGTAATCAGAGACGTGACCGATCGCCCAAGCGGCTAACAAGCCGATCAGTGGCGAAGAGGATAAAAGTAAAAGTAAATGTAAGGGGTGATTTAATTAAAGTTTATAAACACCTCAGAGGACATTATTCAGTCGAGTGTTCATACCTGGAGCTGGTGGATGCCTGCCCCAGTAGGGGTCACAGCTCAAGGTTAAAGAAGCCACTAGTTCAGCGAATTGTCAGGGCAAACATTTTTGGAGTGAGAATTGAAAAATCTTGGAACAATCTACCAGAGTTTTGTGACAGCACCCAGTGTGAGCTCGTTTAAGACCAAACTTGACCAACACTGGTGCAGGTACAGATACATTCTGGAGCCAGTACTTGCCAATGGTGTGTAACAGAGACATGACTGACTGCCTAAGTGGTTAACTGGCCGATCATTGACAAAGAGGATAAAAGCAAAAGATATGTAAGGTGTATGAGTGGTGTAAACAGTCCAGGTCAGACAGTTCAAGTACAATTATCTTTCACATTGATGAATATGATGCTGTACAGGAGTAAGAAATTTAGTAGAAGTGTCCATGAGGAGCAGACTGATGTCACATATGACAGCTGTGTGGTGCTGTACTTGTAAGCATCAGCCTAAATGATGTTGGCTGTAAATTTCTCTGTAAAACAGCTTCTACTCACGTTTGTGACCAATGGGTGTTATTGGGGTCGCAACTCTTAAAAATCACAACTTACAGCAAGATTGGTCAAGTCTCTATGCATATACACATACAGTAAAGAAGAATCAATCAAAAAGTATCAAATCCCTACACTTCCCTCATTGAGGACACTGGTGGAATGGAACCATAAATACTGTTTACTTGATAGTACACTCCTCTTTTTTTCTGTAAATGTTCTTTTCCTTTGTTATACCAATACAACTCAAAGTCTTATGTCAGTTATGTCGAGTTAACTACAGCAAAAACAGGAGACAAAACCCCTACACCCACATATACACTCACTGCTCTGGAAATATTGCTTCAGACCTTCTCCGCCTTGAGTTTTGCCACACGTAGTCGAGGCCAGGGTGTGGGTAGGTGTCGGTGCTGTGTGACAGCATGAAGTGCAACGAACACTGTAAAAAATAAGTAAACATTGAGTTGTTGTGTGAAATTTTCATCTTTTACTTATCATAGGATAATTTTACTGTGTATAGAAAAATATAGGAATGTGGTCATCACTATGAGGTGAGAAGAGTAATGTTCACTCAAATAAGCATGGAGTCCCACTACTTTACTGATTAGTGAAAATTCGTTTTTATGTGCCAGTTTTCAGTTTTATTTTGTTATACTGTACAGTAGATTTATTCAATTATTAATATTATAGCAGCAGATCTAATTAGTGAAGGCAAAATATTAAACTATAGAGCACTTTAAAATCAGTAATACAGTAAGTCCTCGCTTAATGTCATGGCTCCGTTCCTGAAAACCGTGACGTTAATGGAATCGATTTTCACCATAAAAAATAGATAAAATACAGGAATTACATTTCCCAGCCTCCCTCTGCCCCATAAAATATATTACCTACACATAAATTCAATGGATTTTTTATAGAAAATGATATATATTATACATCCAAAAAGATAAATAAACTAAATCATTTTGTATTGTACTCACTGATGGGTGGCGAGTACACACTGTTGTGGGGGTTAGACCTAGCGCAACACCAATGTTCACTGCACGTTTACCTTTCTCAAAACGGTTTAAAACCTTCATTTTCGTAGCAAAGCTAATGGTCTTATGTTGCTTCTTCACAACACTAACACTTGATGGGTGCTTGGAAGCCATTTCGAATGGTTACAGTACTGTACAGTATTTAGAGCAAAAACACTTAAACATGCACAAACAATGTGGAAGCCCATCAAAAACTGGGGAAGCTGTTAGGCTCAGCGAGAGAGCGTTAACGCACCAAGATGAGAGAGGGTGATGCACCGTACAAAGTAGTCCGTGACGACATTATACTGAATTAGCGGGACGTTGCCCGAATCATGGGTATCTAAAGAGTAGCAACGTTTTAACGAAACAACGTTGTCGAGGGCAACATTAAATGAGGACTTACAGTAAGTGGATTTACCGTATTTGCCGGCGTATAAGACGCGTTTAAAAGAAAAAAAGTATAATGGGCCCGTATTACGGATGGGAGGCCGAGCGCCATAGGCGGAGGTGCCTAGCTAGGGGTCTGGCATGAGCAGTAGTCCACTAAGCACAAAAATTTTGTTACTAATAATATTACTAATAATAAAATACTGAAAAACAAGCCAAATTATCACAATCTATTATCACAAACTTACAGCAAATTTGCCGAAGACGTACCGGGTAAATAATGGCAGAAGGAAGCTCACAACATCTTACTGTACCTCTTTCTCCAGCATACGTAACCCACACCAGATACATGTCTTACATTATTTAATGACTGCGTTACCTTTAAGAAACATTAGTTTATTATCTAAATGAAAAATGCCCCTAGAAAGATTAAAGGAATGTTAACAGAAAGTTCAGCCGCCAGTCCGCCATTCGCAATGGGTCGATGACGCCAAAACAATAGCGATTGTGCTACACCCTGGTGGCAGATTGAGGTAACACAAAATATCACAGCCAAAAGTACGACTTATCCCCTACAAAACCACTTTAAAATCAGGTACACCTGACGATTTCATACCATTTATCACCACACATTGTTTGCAGTCATGCAGAAAGTCTACGATCCACGCTAGGACATTTCCCCGAATCCTGTACCCTTTCAGTTTAATTCTCAGCCTTTCATGGGGTACACTGTCGAAAGCCTTGGCAAAATCTAGGTATATATTGTCAATATTTATGCCTTATTCTAGAATTTGAGTCCAAACATCTGGTACCACCTGTAATTGAGTTAAGTAGTATCTTCCCGGCATAAAACTGTGTTGGTATTCCTTTACATGGTTGTTTTGTAGATGTTCCATCATGACATCTCTTACGATGTTCTCTAGTACTTTTGTACACTATGCTGGTCAGGCTCTCTGGCCTTTTATTATTTGTGGAGTGATGATTGTCGTTCTTGAATACTGTATAGGACTCACATAAGCCATCTTCCAGTCGTCGGGGACCTTTTGTTCCTTCAGGTTATTTGCAGAACAGGATCTTCAGGGGCTCCACGAGCTCGTTACACAGTTCTCTTAACACTCTGGGGTATACCATATCTTGGCCGGGACTCTTGTGAATCTTTAACTTTGACAGTTTATTTCTTATAATCTCGTCCGAGAACACAATGTGGGTCAGCTCGGTGTCGAACTATCTTCCCTCTTGTGAATACTGATGAAAAAAATTGTTCAATGCCTCCGCCTTACCCTGGTCAGAATCTGCATAACTAATATCTTCAAGCCTCAGGTCTGATTTCCCTACTCGCGTTTTTAATTTTGAATTTGGGTAACGGTAATAAGCCTTTGGATTTGACTTGACCTCGCTAGCTTTCTGCCCCTGGAACTTTTTTCAGCCCTCCTACACTGTGACTTTGCTTGGTTCCTGGATCTGGCATACATCCTCCTGTCCTGCTCATCATTTGTCCTAACTCATGTCTTGAAATCCTAAATTTTCTTCTTAAATTTGCCGACTGCCGCATGGTTCATGTGTAGTGGTCTCCTTGTATTCTTGGAGGCACTGGGTTTGGTCTTGGGTATATATTTATCGATCGAATGGTTTATTTCACTGGCTATGATATTCAGCGTAGCATCTGCATTCTTATTCTTTAGTAAGTCAGGTAAGTGTATACTCCTCATCTCTTCCCTCATCCCATTGTAATTTCCTTTGTAATATTTGAACCTGGACCTGGTTTTGTTATGAACCAAGTACGTACTGTAATAGTTAAATCTGAAGGACAACATTTTGTTATGACTGGTGCCACCTGGGCTAGTTGTTCCAGATTAGCCATCATACCCTCCTCGTTAGTTATGATGAGGTCCAGTGGTTTGGGTGTTTGCTCCCCTCTGTAGTGAGTCAGCTCTTTAACATGTAGGAATAGAAAATTGTCTCTCAGAGTTTCTACAAAAAGAGTGGCTGGATTATTTAGGTCGTTTGGTGTGGCTTCATTGCTCCAGTCGATGTCGCCATAATTAAAGTCCCCCATGACAAGGAGGTGGCTCGGGTTCTGCACCGTTACATTGTCAATTAAGGTTCTTAAGTTTCTCTGGTTTAATACGCTACAGTTTGGGGATCTGTAGATACATCTAACAATGAGTAAGTCTCTCCCCTTCTGTTTAATTTTACACCACTTTGATTCTTCGAAAACATCCTCTCCCTGCACCCTCACTTGTCTGGCTCTTAAGATCATGCCTAACTCACATTCCTCCTGTTCAATTCTCCTGTTCTTGTACAAAAGTTCTACAACACCTATATCAGGTTGATATACCCTCAGGAAAGTGTTAGTATTCATGTACATGACTTTCAAGCCGGAAATTGTCCTCTGTAATGTCTCCGGTCTTGGTATTATTTCCAGCCCCCCTCCATTCTCTACAGTTGCCTCGTTTACTGTATCCCTTGTGGTTTGTGGGGTGTGGCCAGAGATGACATTGTTTACATGGCACTTGCCTCCTCCTAGGTGGGAGGTAGAGCGGATAGCGGGTGTCCCATTGTCCCCTAGTTCTGTACTGACATTCTTGCTCCCACTATTCTCCCCTTGTATATAACCCATGTACGTCCGACCCGGCTCCTCATCGACTCTTTGTAACTACTGGTATTAACCACAATATTTATTAAGCTTCTGGTTCAGCAGAAGGTGAGTCTCATGGATGCAGCTCACTAGATAAATTCTTTGTTCATAACACAAGGGAGGCAATGTGGCCGGCACTTTATTATATACAGTAAAGTTAGGTGCTCATTTACAAGTGGGTAGACTAACTAGAGGTACCCTGAGCACGAACCAGCAACCATACATAGGCAAGCATTGTATTCACTCAGTACAGTATTTCTGAAAAAAAGGTTATCTAAGGAATGTAAATAATTTTTTGTCTATCTCACCTCTTCACGAGGCTCATAGGTATCAGCAGGCACAGTCTCACTAGGCACCAGAGCCTTAGTGATGATGTCCTGCTTCTCTACCTCCACCAGCTCGTTAGTTGCCCATGGAACGTTGTTGCTGGTGGACTGATATGTGATGCCGTCCAGTTTGTACCTGGAGGGTAAAAACATGTTAAACTCTTCTAAGTCAGAAATAATATATAAATACTGTACTGTATATACATACTGTACACTGTAGGATTCACATACATATATATATATATATATATATATATATATATATATATATATATATATATATATATATATATATATATATATATATATATATATATATATATATATATATATATATATATATATGTAAATATATATATATATATAATATATGTAAATATATATATATATAATATATATAAATATATATATATATAATATATATAATATATAAAAAAATATATATATATAATATATATTATATATACTGTATATAATATATATATATATATATATATATATATATATATATATATATATATATATATATATATATATATATATATACAAGGAAGAAACACGTTCAGCTTTATTAATTCATCTTCAGGTGAATCAGACTGTACTCACCCTGAAGATATACGAAACATAGCACTATATATATATATATATAATATATATATATATATATATATATATGGAGTATATGACAGTTCTACTACAAATATTCCTATAACGAACAGTTTTACCTATAAAATTGAGAATGCTATAACTGATCGAAACTCCTACAACAACAGTATTTTTTATCATTTTTGTACTGATTTATTTTTTATTACAAGTATTAATGTTCTTTATTTCAGGAGTTTAAATGCACATTTATGCCGTTTTACAATTTTACATTTTATATTATATTTTTCATTAGTGCTTGTATTTGAGGCATACAATGGACCCTATAACAAACAGGTTCTGAACCAATTAGAATATTATATATATATATATATATATATATATATATATATATATATATATATATATATATATATATATATATATATATATATATATATATATATATATATATATTATATATATATATGAATAAAGACAGAAAGCTAAGGTGCTCCGTTGTTTCCTTTTCTAGTATGATTTTATCAACATATATATATATATATATATATACACACACCACACACACACACATACACGACATATACACACACACACACACACACACACACACACACACACACCAAGCCGCCCCAAGCCCAAGAAGATACGACGCGCCCTAAGTTACGAAGTAAAGTACAAAATCGTCCAGGACTTACAAAAGGGAACCCGACAAGTTGATCTCGCTTGCTAGCATGGAGTTAACGATTCTACGATTCATACAATCAAGAAGGATGCCGCCAAGATAAAAGAACACATGAGCATCACAAAGTCTGCAGGTGCTTCAATGGTGAAGTATTGTCAGAATAAGGTGCTGCTCGAGACTGAGAGCTTACTAGTGAGCTACTTGATTCGCCAGGCAAGACGTAACATGGCGGTCGACACGCGGGCAGTGCAGGACTACGCCCATGAACTCTACGAATCAGTGGCACGCAAGATGGAAATTGCAGAGCCCAAACCCTTCACTGCTTCCTCTGGGTGGCTGCAGGGGTTTAAGAAACGTAACAAGATAACCAACATTAACATTGTTGGTGAAGGAGCCAGTGCTGACCGTGCTGCTGCCATGGATTTTCCTCCATTCTTACATGACATTATGGAGGAAGGTCAGTACACCGACGACCAGGTGTTCAACATGGATGTATCCGGTCTGTTTTGGAAAAAAATTACCTTCCAAGACCTTCGTTGTCAAGTCTGCCAGCAAGTGTCGGGGCCGGAAGTTGCAGAAGGAGCGCATTACCGTCCTGTTTACCACCAATGCCTCCGGCACCTGTAAGCTCAAGTTGTCGGTGATCCACACAGCCCACAAGCCGCACGCCTACAAGAACATGGACATGACCAAGCTAAATGTCCACTGGCTAACCGCACGTAAGGCGTGGATGTTCACTGGTCTGTCCCTCTCCTGGTTTGATGACTGTTTCGTTCCCGACGTGAAGAAATTCTGCGAGCAACATAATGTTCTATTTAACATTTTGTTGCTCCTTGACAACGCACCAGGACACTCACCCCTACTGTTGGATCATCATCTCAGTGTAAAAGTGGTCTTCCTTCCTCCCAACACTATTTCATTAATCCAGCCGATGGACCAGGAGTTGATATGCAACATTAAGGCTGCATTCTCCGCAAAGAAGTTTAAGCTCCTGAACGACTACACAAACACCAAGGATGAGTTGCCGAACCTTCTGAGTGGCACAGATAGCGAGAGCGAGGACGAGGATCCAGAACAAGAGTTGGCGGAGCATGAAGTGCAAGTTAAACAGTTTTGGAAAATGTTTAACGTCAAGAAAGCTGTTGATTTCTTGGTGGAGGCATGGGGGCAGCTGTCTGTGGCAACGATTCGTCACGCGTGGCGGCATGTGTTGCAGGGTATCCCAGGTGGGAGGCAGAGTCAACCTGTGGCTGGAGAGGCTCAGTCTGTTGCAGTGGCAGTGGACCTTGCAAGAGAAACTGCTCAGAGTGTTACAGCTGCAGGCTTCTCCGAGACCACCAACGACGACATCATTTAGGTAATCAGGTATCCTGAGGTGAATGCCGACGATATGTTGGAAGACGATGACGTCAGTGAGGAGGCAGGTGGTGCTGCAGTACCAGAACAGAAGTTAACACATGGTGATATAAAGGATGCCATCGTGTTTGCCGAGAAACTCAAGCTCATCCTTTCCAAAGACCCTCTCAATCACCGATATGAAGTCTCCAATAACCATCTAGACCAAACTATGGAGCCATATATCAAGATGTATCACGACCACATCAACGCTAGTCGTCAGCGTAACATTACCGACTTCTTCGCCCGCAACCGACAACAGCCAGCCCAAGTCAGTGATAGTGACAATGATGGTGACTTTGAGGGGTTTGTCAGGGAGGCCCTGACGACTGTGGTGGATAGTGATAGTGATTCACCTGAGGGCCACTAATCTGCCCTCTGCCTCGGAACCAGCCCCCATCACCGTATGCCGACCCATCTCTTCTACTAACCTAAGTGTTAAACCTTGATTTTTCTTTTACCTGGTACAGTATATTATTCTCTAATTTATATTTATCTTCTATATTATGTGTGTGTGCATACCATCCATCATAAAATTAAGATACTATTTTTACTGCAACGTACGTATTGTGTCGGAAAAAGTGGAGTTTGAGGGTCGGCCCAGTCTCTATTTCAATTAATCCCATATGTCCTGTTATTTAGTTTATGCGTTCCTCGTTTTACACGGACCTCCATGGGTTCAATTGACTGCGTAAATGGAGACTATAGTGTGTGTGTGTGTGTATATATATATATATATATATATATATATATATATATATATATATATATATATATATATATATATATATATATATATATATATATATATATATATATATATATATATATATATATATATATATATATATATATATATATATATATATATATATATATATATATATATATATATATATATATATATATATATACAATACAGTTAACCCTCACTTTACGCGGTTAATGTAACCCGGAGGGTCGCGCGTAAAGTGAGAAACGCGTAAAGTGAATAACATAACATATGGGATTAATTGAAATGGAGTCCGGGCCGATCCCCAAACTCCACTTTTTGACGACACACAACTATGTTGTAGTAAAAATATTATCTTAACTTTATGATGGTATGCACACACAATTAATAATTAAGAGAAATATCAATAATATTAGGTTTTTTAACACTTACATTAGTAGAAAAAATGGCTGGGCACACGGGGATGGGCGGTTGGTTCCGAGGCAGAGGGCAGATTATTGGCCCTCACCTGTGTCACTTGTATCAATTGTATCACTATCCACCACAGAGGCTTGCAGGGCCTCTTTGTCAAACTCCCCAAAGTCCATATAAGTCCATATCCTCACCATAATTATCACTATCACTGACTTGGGCCGGCTGTGGTGGGTGGCGGGTGAAGAACTGGTAATGTTTTGATGACTGGGCGACCTTGTGCGCACCATGTTCGCACCGCTTACACAACATGGCGGATGGCGGGAGGTTTGGATCCAAAAATGGCGCGGCTCGCCAGCCGCTCTCCGCGTAAAGGGGTACACGCACCGCGGAATGTGAGCATCCTGGGTTCCGGCAGGGCACCGCGTAAACGTGGAAACGCGGAATGTGGGACCGCGTAAAGTGAGGGTTAACTGTATATATATATATTATTAATAGAGTTGCAGCCGGTGGCTGAAAATACTGTATGTGTGTGTGTGTGTGTGTGTGTGTGTACATACATACAATGTGTGTGTGTACATACATACACCCTTACCTCAACAAGAGAGCCTCAGCTAAGGTATCAGGGTAGATAAAGTTGTGCTGATTCTCATACTTCTCCACCAAGGCAATGAAGTTTCCCAGGTTGATTGGCATGCGGTCTTCAAGATCGTCAAGGCCATGCTTGTAACATTCAGAGGACCTGAATTTCTCGTGCCATTCCGCTCCTGCAATGATTTCTTTCATAAGATGTCCACCTTTACTTGCCGTTTTCTATGTTAACTTGAATCAACAGTTGTTTTGACAAAATGATTATTATGCTTTATTTGTCAATATTTGGTTATTCACTGACGAATACACTTATGCCATTGGTATTACAATCTTCAGCATATGAATAGTAATTTTTGTAGTCCATATTATTTTGCAATAGGTATTATAGCAAAATTAGCTGTTCAATACAACATCCAACAGTGTTCAATTTGTTTCCCTTATATATATATATATATATATATATATATATATATATATATATATATATATATATATATATATATATATATATATATATATATATATATATATATATATATATATATATATATATATAGTCCGTTAGATATAAAACCTCTATCTAACACACTACAATATGAAAATATGCTATAGTGATAGTCCATTAGATGTGAAACCCCATCTAAACGATCATATGGAGAGAAAAATACGTTATGTGGAGGTTTCACTGTAGGTGAGATATTTTACATGTTCAATACTGTATATGCCATGACGTTTAATTAAGCCACAGGAATATGCATTTCTCCCTGTACCTTTCTTGATTTCCTTCATTTATAAATTTCCTCTCTACACCTCCTTTCTCCTGTTCACCAAACACATGAATGTAAGGAGAGGAGTCACAAACCTGCTAGAGTGAGGAGCACCAGGAGCAGCCCAGCTGTCAGTTGTCGCATCTCCTGCAATATTCAGTACAGTAGTCAGTTACTAAAGCTGGCAGTTAGTTACCAAAGCTATTAGTTGGTCACCAAAGCTATTAGTTGGTTACCAAAGCTATCAGTTACTTGTCAATGCTATAATTTAATTATCAAAGTTATAATTTAGTTACCAAAGCTGTCATTTAGTTGATAAAGCTATCAATTATTTACAAAAGCTATCAGTTAGTTCCTGGTAAGACTATTGAGAGCGCACAGTGATGCAGGGATAGTATAGTGATACATGGGGGGTACACCAACACACAAGTGGTAGGATGGATTACACCAGGTGTCAAGGTAAATAGTAAACCCAAACACTCACGACGCTTATGGTAGACTTAGATGATAATAATATTGATATTTATTCAGTAAAATTGTCATATAAGTTTACAATTGGCTAGACATATATAAACTATGCAGACGCAGTTATAACAGTTCACCATGCATATAGAAAATGAAGGTACAGTATACGATGAATGTAGGCAGTGAAGGTAGTGTACAGTTTTCTGTGTGCCTAGAGACAGTGCAGGTATACAGCAATAGTAAACAGTTAGGCAATTGGCTAAGGATGGCCGGCAAAGCTGCCAGGTACTTATTTTCATTTGTTTAGGCTTAGTATCTAATTAGTCATAGAAAATCTGCAGGATTATAATGAAAGCTTTTTCTTTTTTCTTTTTTTTAAATTCAACAAGTATTACATTGCACTTGGACTATCTGAGGCTGGTAGATCACTTCAACAAAACATCATTCTGTGGTTAACAATAAAGAAACTCACACTTCTCTTGATGTAGCTTCATCTGTTATGTGTTGTTCAGTTTTAGCTTTTAATTTTTTAATACCATAGCCTGATAACTTGTTCCAATCCTCTCTGTAGGTGCAAAAAGAATTCTCACCCAAGGTTACAGAGGCCAGTCACAATTTGCCTTTAACTTACCCAGACTCATTCTATAAGTCAGGACCAATAAGTTAATTAAAACCATTCCTCAACACGCGACAACCATAAAAAACTGGTTCATGGAAATCATACAATGAGTAAACTCTTTCTTACTGTCGATTTTACCCAGTTTGTAGTAAAGAAATGAACCGACAAACCTTCATATACATCATTTTGCAATCACTGGGGACCTTTTGTTCATCCAGGCATTTACAGAACAGGATCTTCAAGGGCTTGGCAAGCCCGTTGCATATCTCTCTTAGCACTCTGGGATGCACGAGGTCAGGGCCGGGACTTATGAACCTTTAGCTTTGACAGTTTATTTCTTATACCCTCTTCTGTGAACACAATGTGGGTCAGTGTTGTGTCGAACCGTCTGTCCTCAAACGCAGGAGGTTAATCGCATCCTCTCTTGTGAACACCGAGGAAAAGAAGCTGTACAATGCCTCAGCTTTATCCTGGTCAAAATCTGCATAACTACCATCTTCAAGCCTCAGGTCTGATACTCCTACTCGCGTTTTTAATTTCGACTTTACATAGCAGTAAAACACCTTTGGATTTAACTTGACCTCGCTTGCAACCAGCCTCTGGAACTCCTTTTCAGCCCTTCTACACTCTGACTTTGCTTAGTTTCTGGTTTTGCATACATCCTCCTGTCCTGCTCATCGTTTGACCTAACCCAGGTCTTGAATTTCCATGTTTTCTTCTTAAGTGTGTCGACTGCCGCGTGGTTCATGTGTAGGGATCCCCTCATATTCATAGAGGCACCGGGTTTGGTCTTGGGTATATATTTATCGATCAAATGGTTCACTTTACTAGTTTTGATATTCAGCGAAGTGTTTGCGTTCTTGTGCCTTAGTGAATCAGGCTAGTGGATATCCCTCATCTCTTCCCTCATCTCATCATAATTTCCCGTGTAATATTTGAACCTTGGCCTGGCTTTATCTTGAACTAGGTAACAGTTAAATCTGAATGACAACACTACATGGTGACTGGTGCCAACTTGGGCTAGATGTTCCAGTTTGGCCACCATACCCTCCTCGTTTGTTATGATGAGGTCTAGTGGCTTGGGTGTTTGCTCCACTCTGTAATGTGTTGGGTCTTTAACATGTTGGAACAGAAAATTATCTCCTAGAGTTTCTACAAACAGAGTAGCAGGTTTATTCAAGTCATTTGGGGTGAACTCGTTTCTCCAGTCGATGTCGCCATAGTTAAAAGTCCCCCATGATAAGGAGGTGGTACGGTTGAGCATTGCTGCGTTGTCTATTAAGGCTTTTAAGTTCCTTTGATTTAGTGGGCTACAGTTTGGGGATCTGTAGATACACTCGACAATCAGTAAGTCCCCTCCCTTTAATTTAATTTTACACCACTTGGACTCTTCAAAAACATCCTCTCCCTGTACCCTTGCCTGGCTGGCTCTTAAAGTCTTGTCTAGCATAGATAACCACACCCCTCTTGCAAGTTTCTTGAGAAAGGTTCGTAAACGAGTCATCGAGCATTACCATGCGATCTGGGTGAATGAATACATTCCAAAATGCCTCGCTCTTTGCTAATTTTTTTGCCTGCCGAATAATCTCCAATTTCTCCTCCTCACTCACTTGTGTGATCCTGAAGGGGCGAGGTGGGGCGAGGCTTGTTCCCCTGCTTTTGTCCCAGCCTCCTCACATCCTGAGGGGTTGATGGCATATTCAGAACCTCTGTACAAATATTCTTAAACTGCATCTTATCGTGTGTTTTTGTACTCTCAGTTCCCTCCGCCTGGCTCTCAGGGACTCCAAAAACTATTACATTGTTCCTGCACTGGAAACGTTCCCGTTGTTACTCCTCTCCCCTAACAGTAGGTCCACTAATTGCCATTTCTTCGACACACTTCTTCAGAGTCCCTAACTGTTATAGAACCTGTTCTGATCCTGCATTACTCTCCGCCACCTCCTATTGCCCTGTTAAGGCCTGAGCATGACTCCTCTTTGCAACCACCTCCATTCCATCGGCTACTTCCTCAGTCTTAGCAAGGATCTCTTTCCCAACTTGTTCTAGTTTGGTAACCAGCAAGGATCCAGCTTCATCTATTTTCGTCCCTAGGGAACTCGTTCCCCAATGGCTTGCAATCGCCTCTTTCACCTTGACTATGCAGTCAGGGCAATACCAGCAACAACCTTCATGCTTTATGGCAACTTGTATCGTCCTAAACTCTGTATTGGTCAGGTCTGTACCATCTACATCTGTCGTCACCCTGCAGTAATCACAAGTCATACCCTTCATGGTTGTTGTTGCTGTGTGGGGGTGGGGGGACTAGGACATTTCCCCGAATTCCGTACCCTTCCAGTTTGATTTTCAGCCTTTCATGGGGTACACTGTCGAAAGCCTTGGCAAAATCTAGGTATATATTGTCGATATTACCACCCCGTTCCAGAAAATGGATACAAATATCCAATACCTTGAGCAATTGTGTTAAGCAGGAGCGCCCGGCCAATTTATATTAGAGGATATAATTGGATATAAGTTTTTTTGTGTTTAATGATAATTCAGACAAAAAAGGATGATTTTCGTCAAAGACACTTTTAGTGCATTTTACCCATAACCTTGATATCTCGAGTTGAAAATCAGAACACTACTTGAAAAGGTATTATTGCATTTGTTGTCACTAATTGAATCTCGGGAATGTTATCTTTGCAATCAATAGCTTAAACAATTTTAAGACACTTTTCTTTGATGAAATTTTCTTTACAAACGACCTAAAACCGATATATTTAATTAGCAGTAAGTGATAATAATAATAATACAATAAATACTATTATATCATTACTGCTGTTATATAAACAATGGACCAGCAAAATAGCCCAAAACAGCTTGTCAGACAATTTTGCCTTGACATAATTTAACCAGTCAGGTTATTTTGGCGTGACCGGTAATTTAGTCATTGCATTTTTTACTGAGCTCCGACACATTACTTAATACAGTATACGTACTGTAACGTAAATTGGGTTACATATCATTGAAAATTCCAACGACTATATATAAAGATGATAATGTATATACTGTAGATAAAACAGACCTCACTAATAGAGGAAGAAGGACGGTTCTGCAGATCGTGTTGTTATAATGTTATTACTGTGCTTTAACAACGAAGGTCTTTAAGTGCGTAGCAAGGTTAGTAATACACTGGACCAACAACGCTAAAAAATTAGAACTCTGTGTGTGTGTGTGTGTGTGTGTGTGTGTGTGTTCAACTTTTCACTCTACTTGAAATGATTAGATATCATGTTATTTTGAAACTTTGAATGCTCGTTAAACCTAGACCGCCATTTGCTCCCAGCTGGCAGTGACGCCGTAAAAATAAAGTTTTCGGATGTAATATTGTAGGAAATTAATGATGAAGTTGTGGGAGCTTTTATAAAACCGTTATACGTTTAATGTGATGTGATGCACTGTTGGGAGTATGGCCTTGTTCATCATAGAAAATGTATTTGGTAGGTGTTTCTCTTTAAGGGTAACAAAGGAAACGGACAAGGAGCACGTATTGAAGTTAGAGACAGATTAACTGAATCACTTTCGTAGGATAATTATACTTCTGTACTTCATTTGATATTTTCCCAATGTGTTAGGGTCTTGTTGTGCCACTGCGTTAATATAATCAGTTCAACACCAACCTATGCCACACGTAATGTAAATGTTAAGTGTCGTTATAATGTATCAGATAATGAAGATAATTAAGTCGTCGTTATGATGAGTGGGTAAATAATCTCTCCACCTCGGACTGATTATGAGTCATTATCAGCCATGATGAAAGCAACTTTAGAAGTATCGGGAGAGCTTTTCTTTTCCACTGACGATCACATTGGAATAAGTATGACTAATACTTTGGGTTATTCTCAGTAAATGGTTATATATGTATGCTTGCAATATACTTATCTATATTAAAAAGATATCATATCAAATCAAACCGAGGAATACATTTAGAGTTAAAAACATCGCTACTTTTGTGCACGCCTTAGGACAGCGAGTTGGGAAAATACCCGGGAATGTCCGTATGAGAATATTACGAGTCATT